GCGTCGCCGCGGCCCGCGGCGACGTAGAGCCGGCGGTTGATGTGCTGGTTCCGGCCGACGCCCTTGAAGCCCACGGGCCGGCCGGCGCGCGCCTGGAGGCTGTCCGGGTCGAGGACCGCCTCCTGGTACCATCGCATGACGGGGACGTCGGGACCGGGCTCGGCCTTGCTCCCGCCGAAGCCCAGGATCGGGCTGAGCGCCACGCGCAGCAAGTCCCAGACGACGAGCTCCGCCGCGCGCGGCAGCACCGAGAACAGCGTGTCGGCGACGCCGCGCGCCGCGGGCAACTGCATCGCGGCCATGATGGGCTGCTTCAGATCATACGAAATTGTTTCATGATCCCGTTCCTACGTTCCTTTCCCCTTCACCGTTTTGGGTGTTGTAGTGCAACATGTTGATTTGAAGTACAAGTGGGAGATTACACAACGTCACAGGGCACAATGCGGGCGACGAAACACACGGGGATCGGTCGGTCGGCGGTTTCGATTGAGTATGGCGCGTCGAGGCTTTGGTCACAGCGCGTCGAGGGTTGAGTATTGCGCGTTCAGGATGGATCACAGGGTCGCCGTCGGGATGTTGTTCTCGTCGAGCGTGAGCTGGACGCGCAACGGCACGGGCATCGGCGGCCGCGGCATCGGGAGCGCCCGCGGCGGAGCCCGAAAGGGCGCCGCCGGAGCCGGAGGACGCGCCGGCGGAACCGCCGGAACCGGCGGAGCCCGATAAGGCGCCGCCGCAGCCGGAGGACGCGGAGCCCAAAGAGGCGCCGCCCGCGCTGCCGGAGCTGGCAGAGCCGGAGGACGCGCCGCCGGAGCCCGAAAGGGCGCCGCGGACGCCGGGGGACGCGGCGCCACCGCCGGCGGAGCACCACCGAAGATGGCGTCGATGGCCTCGTTCACCTCGTCCGCCTGGGCCTGGTTCGTCGGGCTGCAGACCTCCGCGAGCAGGTTGCGGTGCGTCGGCGGCGCGTCCCTCTTTCCGGCGGCGAAGGACGACACGAGCTCCGACGCCCACCGCGCGCTGGCCGGCGTGCAGTCGAGGGCGGCGGGCTCCGCCGCGCCGGGCGGCTCCGGCGACGACGGCCGCGGCGCCGGCGAGATCGCCGCGCGCGCGCGCTCCTCGTACTCGTGGCGCCGCGCCTCCATCGCCCGGAGCTTCGAGTCGCCGCGCTGGATCGACGCGGCGCGCCGCGGCGCCGCGGGCGGCCCGGCGGGCGCCGCGCGGCACGCGCTCGCGCCGAAGCGCAGGTCGCAGGCGCAGCGGCCCGGGCTCCGGCCGCAGTCCGCGCAGACGCCGTCGTCGCGCGGCGCCGCGGGCGCGCCCTCGCCGTCGCGGCGGCGCAGCAGACCCCGCATCGTCGCGGGCGAGAGTCCGACGCGCGAGACCCCGGCGAACCCCTTCACCTCCAACGGGAACGGCTCCGCGGCCGCCGGGGCCGGAGCCCCCGCGGCCGCCGGAGCCGGAGGCGCCGCGGCCGACGGAGCCGGAGCCGCGGCCGCCGGAGCCGGAGCCGGAGCCGCCGGAGCCGC